ACAAAAACTCGGCAACCAAACACTTTCAAGTGCTCATAAGACACATCTCTGCCGGTCCAAACTCTTTCTGGAACACCACCATTCAAAGGATAGGAATGAGACAAATTGATCACGTCAACCGTTGTCCTCAATGCCTCGACCCAAAAGGATCTTGGCAATTTAGCTTGTGAAAGCAAACACCTTGTTCTTTCCACAATGGTGTGGTTCATCCTCTCGGCAACGCCATTTTGTTGAAGAGTCTTCTTAACTGTCTTTTGGTGCCGAATACCTTGGCTGCGACAATACTCATCAAATGGCCTAATATATTCACCACCATTATCTGATCGGATTCACTTCAATTTCTACCCTGTTTCTCTTTCAACCATGGCCTGAAAATGCTTAAATACTTCTAGAACTTGATCTTTAGTTTTTAGTATAAAAGCCCAAACTTTCCTTAAATAATCATCAATGAAAGTAACAAAATAAAGTGCACCACTATGTGTTCTAACTTTCAAAGGACCACAAACATCCGAATGAATCAACTCTAAAACATTTTTTTTTTCTAGAAGCAACATTTTTATGAAAAGAAACTCTATGTTGTTTACCCGCCAAACCTTTCACACCGGATAGAAACTCTTTCTTGAACAAAACTTGTAGCCCCTTTTCACTCATATGGCCAAGCCGCTTGTGCCACAATTCAGTAGAAGTATTATCTTCAAGTGCATTGACAACACCTTTACAAATTTTCCCTTGCATCGAATAAAGTGTATGAGTCTTCTTGTACTTAGCCACCAATAAAGAACCCTTTGTGAGCTTCCATATTCCATCACCAAATTTGTTGTTGAAACCTTTATCATCTAGCTTCCCAGTAGAGATCAAATTGAGGCGAATGTCAGGAACATGCCTTACATCTTTAAGCAACAACTTGCAGCCCAAATTTGTTTCCAACCAAACATCACCCATGCCAATAATCTTTGACAAACATTCATTACCCATTCAAACAGAACCATAATCTCCTTTGGTATAGGTAGTGAAGAAATCAACTCGAGAAGTCACATGAAAAGAAACACCAGAATCAATCACCTAATTGCTCTCTTGGCCCACAAAATTGATACAATCATCTTCACAAACGACCATAAGATCACCATTGGTAGTAATTGCCGTTGTGACTTCTTGCTTCTTATCCACACTTTTGTCACGCCTTTTCTCCTTATTCTTGAGCTTTCGGCATTTCCGCTTTATGTGCCATTTCTCATGGCAATAGTAACACTCAATGTCTTTTTTTGAAAAAGAACTATCTCTTGATTTGTCATGGCTTTGATCACGACCATGGGGAGTCTTACTCATCCCCCTTGTTTTGCTTCGACCTTTCACAACAAATACTTCTGAATTAGAGGAACTCGCTGATTTTCTTCTAGTTTCTTCATTCAATAAGCTACTAGTGACTTGACCCATTGTGACAACTCCATCAGGTGCCGAATTACTAACTGTCACAACCAAAGTCTCCCAACTTTCGGGCAAAGAACTAAGTAGCATCAAAGCCTGCAACTCATCATCAAAAACAATTTTCATAGAAGCAAGTTGGTTAACAATACTCTATATTTCATTTAGATGTTCGGAATAGGGCTGCCCTCTTTATATTTTAAATTAACCAACTTACGAAACAAAAAAACTTTATTTGTGACTGATTTCCTATCATAAAGGCCTTCAAATTTTTTCCATAAATCATGTGTTGAAGTTTGAATAGCAATATGATGAAACACACTGTCATCAATCCATTGACGGATAACACCAAAGGCTTTTCGATTAAGCCTCTTCCACTCATCATCTTGCATACCCTCGGGTTTGCCACAATCACCCTCAATAGGTCCATACAAATCTTTACAAAATAATAGGTCCTCCATTTTAGTTTTTCAAGTTACCCAATTGCTTCCATTGAAGCTAGACATACGACCCACATTCCCCTCCATTGATTTACACAAATAAGTAAACCCAAATAAACCGTAAGCTCTGATACCAGTCGTTACGAAAAATATATGATTCCCCACAAGTAAATCAATCAATGGGAATAAAAACTAATGCGGTAAAATTAAATCAAAAGCAACACAAGAATTTTACATGGTTTCCTCAATGTGAGGTATGTCTATGGGATCGAAATCTGATTCCACTATCAACCAAATAGTTTCCAAACGATTACAAACGAGACACAAATGGTCTCACAAACCACCCCTGGGTGAATTCCAAATAATCATAAATAAATAAGAGGAAAAACCTCACCAAATAGATGAATAAAAATTTTCGAAATAGAGTTGTAGAAGATCCAAAATAATGCACCCAAAACAGAATCAAAAACTAAACCAAACGAAATAGAGGAGCACTATTGCTTGTATGTGAAAGTAATACACACACAGCCACACCTTGACAAACTGATCCACTTAATAATGATTAGCTTTTGTTTACCCACCGAATTGATCCATTTTTCAATCTATATAGCCGCTTGCTCTCGAAAATATATAAACAATATATATATATATATATATTGTTAAATTTTGGGTATTATATCAAAGTCCTAACTGTTACCAAACTGAATTAGGTCTCTAAAAATTAGATATAATATATTAAAATATATTATACTTAAACCAAACTAAATTAAAATTCTTTAACAAACCAATTGACTCTCAAACTCCAATAAAGAGATATACCCTAACAGTTTGTTTTAATATTTGTTTTAATTTTTTTAATATAAAAATAATTTATATATTTATTTTATATAAAAAATAATTTAACAATTCTTTCAGTAACCATCTCTCACACTATCATCAAATCAAACACACTTTTACTTAATTCTCTCACTAACAATCCTCATATTAACAATTTTTTCACTAACAATCATCTCACTAACAATCTTATCTAAACTAATCCGTTAAACAAACGTGACCATAGTGCATATCTATCAAGCAATCCTTTCTGCTACGCCACCGATTCACCCTTTTTTTTTCTCTCTCTCTTTTTCTTTAAAATAAATCTTTTTAATTTTCCATTTTGAAAAAAAAAATTATTATTTTTTGAGGTTATTTTAATTCAAGAATGTTATGATCGATTGAATTTTTTAATTTATTTAATTTCATTCAATTGAATAAAAAAAATGTAAAATAAAATTTCAATCTCAACATGATATTTGTGATTTTCAATTGAAATAATGTAATCTTTTTATTTATTATTTTAGAATTAATCTACTAAACCAAAATAAGAAAAAGGTACACAAATATATCTTAACGTTGGATGAAAGTGAACGGACACCTTCTAACATTTCAATGTATTATAGATAATCTTGACATTTGTGAATCTAAAATCTTGGAGATATTGATTTATGATTATGTATTAATTTTAACCAGTAAATAACAATCTCAATCAAACAATCAAAAACAAAACAACACAACGATTTAACATAGAAAAATGACAATTGGAGCACCTTCAATTGTGATAAAAAAATCATGGGCAAAAGTCACAAAACAATCCACTAAAAAGACCAAAAGGAATTACACAAGTATACTCTCAATTACCTAGTGAATCCACGCCCGAATTGAACTGACCCCTATATGCCTCTTCCACCACCCCCTTCACCTCAGAATTGTCTTGCCCAACACTGAATTCACAACGCCGATGTCGAATCTACGACGATGAGCCACTCCGGAATCCATCAAAGCTTCAGGCTTAATTTCTACGGACTCTACCGAATAACAACTCTCTCTTTTGTGAATAAAACAAAATAAACAAACCCTTTAATATAATCCACTCAGTTCATGATATAAACTCTCACAAATATCAAAGGAAACAAGCAAAGAAGCTTCAGATGAAATGTAAGGCTCGGGAATTTTGTAACAAATTTATTAAATAAAAATTATCTTTTTCTCGAAGAGTTATTCTAAATTAATGCATAAGATATAGAAGTTTGGCACACTTTAAATTAATCATTGCTTAGGGGCCTTGATTAAACTAAATATTAACTAACACTAATCCTCACAATTAGATTAAAGAAGCTTCTAAAGGCAATCTAGAATTTTATCCTCACTTGATTATCTTATTCATGAGTGTGTGTGTATATATATATACAAGGGTGGACCTAGAGTTGGACATAGGTGGCTACAGCCCAGTCCAAAATTTTAAAAATTTGTAAATTTTTTTTTTTTTTTTTTTTTTTCCCCAACCCAACCTCCCAGTCTAGCCTAGCCTCCCAACCTCTCCCAACCTAGCCCAGCCCCAAATAAGGACCAATAGTCTTTTTGTTTGTTTTTTAGATAGGTAACCCAACAGTAGCCTAATACTTACCCAAAAAAATAAATAGGTAGCCCAATAGGTTTGTATTTGTTTAAAGAGGTAGTCCCAAAAATAGACAACCCAAAAATAAAAATAGGAAGCCCCATCAGCAGCTTCTCTTAAACTCTTCTTCACTTCCTCTTCTTCTTCTTCCCATCAGTGGTACAAGTACTACTCTTTCGCAACTTTGACCTTCTTTTTTTTCCTTTTTTTTTTCTTCTTCTTAATCTTATTTTGGTTGAGAATGGATTTGATTAATCTTATTGTTCTTAATCTTATCTGACATTTCATGACTTCACGGCCTGAATGGATTTTTTTTCTTAATCTTTTTTTCTTCTTAATCTCTTTTGCTCTTAATCAAAAGAATCTTTTTTGCTCTTAACCTTTTTTTTCTATATTGCTTTTAGTTTTTGAACTTTGAACAATTTTTTTTTTGGACATATATCAAAATAATGAAAGCCTAAATAAAAATTATTGAGGATATATATAAAAATCCTAATATTTAAAATTATTGCGAGTATACTCTAGTTTAATATTAAATAGGGCTATTTTGTTTTATTAATTTTTTTAGGTTATAAATAATGGAACGTCCACCACTCAAAAAAGGAAAAACCCTTTTCTCATTCTATTAATCAAAACAGAAGTCTAGTAATACAACATCCAATGTTGTTAAAACCTCATTTTCTGATGTGTAACCGCCTTCCATGCGTCAAGCAAATAAACCAAGCGAATTTGATTCAACTGTTATTGAGCGGGATCCTGGTTTACAATTGCAAATTTGTGAATATCCGGTTAATCAACGGGATGAGGTTAGATGAGCTTATGTGAACTTAGGGCCTTATCAAACTAAACTTGAGTATCCTAGGTCCTCATTTGGAAAGTAGAATTGCCGATTCCAACATATTTGGTTTAAACAATTTTCTTGGCTAGAGTATTCTCCTTCAAAGGATAAAGCATATTGTTTTTCATGCTTTTTGTTTGATCAACCAAATAAGTCGATCAGTCGTTCTGCACTTGTTGATGAGGGGCTTAACAATTGGAAGAAAGTAAATGATGGATCCAAATGTGTTTTTTTGCTTCATGTCGGACTTGCATCTTCATCGCATAGTTATTATGTTATTAGTCATAACAATTTAAAGAAATCTTCCCAACACATTGAAAAAGTGTTGAATGCGCAATCAAAAGAAGAAATTTTGAAGAATCGAATGCGGGTAAAGGCAACAATTGAAACTATTCAAGTACTTGCTCCTCGAGGACTTGGTTTTAGAGGTCATGATGAAAGCTTGACTTCATTGAATCAAGGTAATCTAATTGAATTATTAAAGTTCAAGGCGAGAGGGAATGATGCACTTGAGAGCATTATATTAAAGAATGCTCCACAAAATGCCAAATACACTTCTTTGAAGATCCAAAAGGAGATTTTGCATATACTTGCTAACAGAGTTAGGAATATGATTTTTGATGAAGTTGCAGGAGGTTATTTTTGTATTCTTGTTGACGAATCCCAAGACGAGTCTGAAAAAGAACAAATGGCCCTTATTTTGAGATACGTCAAGAATGATGGTTTTCTAGGGAAATGGTTCTTTGATATCGTGGGTGTCAAAAATATATCTGCATTGACTCTTAAAAAAGAGATATTGAATATCCTTTCTCGATTTAATCTCTCTATTCAAAACATGCGTGGTCAAGGATATGATGATGCTAGCAATATGCGTGGCAAATGGAATAGACTTCAAGCTTTATTTCTTAAACATTGCCCATATACATATTATGCACATTACTTTGCACATTGTCTGCAATTGGCCTTAATTACGGCAGCAAAAGATGAGCCTAATGTTTGGCAATTTTTTTCTCACTTGAGTTGTATTGTCAATCTTGTTGCTTCTTCTCCAAAGCTCCTTGGTGGGTTAAAATCTTTTCATAGGAGTGAGGTTGAAAATATGTTGGCTAGTGGTGAGCGTCAATCTAGTAAAGGGGCCAATCAAATTGGTACCTTGCATCGAGCTGGAGCTACTCGTTGGAGCTCGCATTATGATTCTGTTAGAAACTTGATTGTGTAGTTGTTGAAAGTCTCAAAAAGAGTACAAATCAACAAATTCGCGGCAAGCAAATGGTGTTTGCAAAGTAATAAAGAGCTTTGAATTCATATTCGTCTTGCACTTGAACATTTTGGGAATTGTGAATACACTTTGTCAAGCCTTGCAACAGAAAACTCAAAACATCTTAAATGCGATGAAATTAGTCTCCACAACAAAAGCTCCCCTTCAAAAACTTAGACAAGATGATTGGGATATTTTTCTTGCAAATGTGGTGCCATTTTGCAATCGACATAACATTGCGGTATGATATGAGTTCTCCTTATGAAGAGGGTACAAGTCGTCGTCGTCAACAAGATCACATTACAATTGAGCATCATTATCACTTTGACATATTCAACTCTACAATTGATTTTCAATTGATGGAGGTAGAACATAGATTTGATGATGGGGTAGTGGAACTGTCATGACCCGAACCCGCCCCTATGGGTTAAGGACATAACCGGCCAGTAATCGAGGGATTACCTACGGCCTCAAACCATTTCATACATAACTCATTAGAGTGAAGGGGCCAAACGGAAGCAAAATTTTAAACTTTGTCCATAGAGCTGTGCTTGCATGGCACATCATAACAAACCATACATACACATATTAATAACTCACATCAGAAAATACAGTAGCATAAGGTTCTGTACAGACAGGATCATTCAAGTCTAAGTCAGCCTACCAAAACTATATACAAACATAAACCAAAGTCCTCGCCAGCAAGTCAAAATAAAATAAAATAGCAGAAGGGCGAAGACCGGTCTCGTGCGTGAGACGCAAGGGCTGACTCTTCAAAACCTTGGTTGTCCCACACAAACTTCACTGAGGCTGGGTTTGGACCTCTCTTGGCTCACCTACAAACACATGAATGAGCGTGAGCGAAAGCCCAGTGAATATTATCAAATAAACAAGATGCATTAGGACAGTATACATCGGGCGGCCTTGGGCCCAATTCATATTTCTATTTAATACATATATATATATATATATATACATAGGTCAAACAGCTACAGTTCCAAACACATCGGACGGCCTTGGGCCCAATCCATTCATGTCAGACTGGCCTTTGGCCCAACCATTCTTTCATTCATGTCAGACTGGCCTCTGGCCCATTCATTCTATCATTCAGACTCATACTGGCCTCTTGCCCATTCATTCTATCGTTCAAACTCATACTGGCCTTTGGCCCATTCATTCTATCATTCAGACTCATACTGGCCTCTGGCCCATTCATTCTATCATTCATGTCAAACTGGCCTTTGGCCCAATCATTCTTTCATGTCAAACATTTATCCACCATTCAAATTAACAAATGTATAAGACTTACATGGAAGTAAGCAATTGGACAAACAACATATATCTTTATTAAGGTATTACTCACAGTGATCGGTTGGTTGGTTTTCCCTGGAGCTTGACCCTACACATCACATAACACACATGGGTCACAAAACGATTCAATCCGTTCCTTAATTCACATATTCCTCTCTAGGCTTCTTTCTTATTCTTTTAATTCATTCATAATGCTCAATGCATGCCTAAGAGTACTTAGAAGTGAAAGAGAACGGAAAACGAAACACATAATGCATTTTCAAAATTTTAGAAACAGGGGTCCCCGCTCGAGCGGACCCATGAGGCCTGCAAAAGTACTAGTTATGTCATATTTACGCTCGAGTGTGAAGTCGGGCGCTCGAGCTGAAGGCCTCACTACATGGCTCCCCGCTCGAGCGGACATCATGTCTTCAGAAAATACTGAGAGCCCGAATTTTATGCTCGAGCGGCGGTTCTCCCGCTCGAGCGGACATCAAACTTTCTAGATTTTTCAGAACTTGTTCTTGAGCTTCAACTTGACATTCAAAGGTTCTAAACACATGATTTTGGCTCAAATTTCACATACACATGTACTAACATGGTACCAACACCAAATCACAACATCATGAAGCTCAATTCCATGAATTACTTACATGCATGACTCAAATTAACCCAAAAGTGGTCGCCGATAGCCACCACCAATGGTCGACCGGCCACCATTAGTAGCCAACTGGCCACCATTGTTGGACGACCGACCATCAGCAGTGGTCGACCAGCCCCATTGTCGGCCACTAATGCAAATTCAACAGTGTGCTCCTGAGACAAAATAGAGTTGATCTGGAGAAAGAGAAAGCGTAAGTGCTTCTGTGCAACAGAGGCTTGCAGCAGCAAAACAGTGGCCTTTCGGGTGGAATTGAGTGCATTGTGCCCTTTTATGTAAGTCCCACTAGTCAAAATTATTAATATTAAATAATTGGGCACTTAATTAATCGTTCTGAATCTAATTATTTTGATCCAAAACAATTTTCAATTAAATTTCACCGTAGGCTCTAAAAACTATGCCAATCACAATGACGTAATCAATTTCAGATTCTGTGGCCTTTAAGGCCTTCAATTTAAATTCCGAAGCAGATAATCAAACAGATATTCCTACGGTGAACAGATAGAAATTCAAAACAACATATTTGCACATAAATAGTACACCAAATCATATCAAACACATAATCACATTCATAATAAGGACCAATTAGCATAATATGGAACAGGGTTATCACAGGAACTTCTTTCTCTTAGCTCGGCATTGGATCCTAGTGACAATTTTAGATCTTTTAATGTGGATAATATTTGCAATCTTGTCGAGAAATTTTATCTCCAAGATTTCACTTCTTAGGACATCCATGCTTTGAGATGTCAATTAATGCATTATAAGCTTGATGTTGTTTCTGATCTCGAGTTTCATAAGATATCTACCCTTACCGAATTATGCCAAGAACTATTTGTGACAAGAAAGTTCAAGCATTACACCATGTTCTACAAATTGATTCGTCTTCTGTTAACCCTTCTTGTTTCTACGGCGACTACGGAAAAAGCATTTTAGGATATGAAGCATGTTAAAGCTGCCATTCACAATTCAATGGGGGATGAGTTGCTTGTCGATTGCTTGTCTTTCTACCTTGAACGAGGCCTTACTTTGAAAATTAGTCTAGATTTTGTAATCGATGAATTTGAATTCGAGCACAACTTTGTTAGATTGTTTTTAATCAATAAATTTAGATATTAATCTAAATTATATTATTAAATTCTCTTTTTTCTTATGTGGTTATACTAAAAATATATTGTATAATTTTATCTTAATATTAGCCCACCCCATTGACAAATTCTAGGTTCGCCCTTGTATATATATATATATAAACAAAAAAAATAGGGAAGGATACGCTGGCCAAGTCAACTATCATGGGGAAGGGTTGATTTTGTCTTATATGAAGATTCATCTCAAATGTGTAGCCCTCTTAGCATGCTTAACCAGCCTTTTCTTACCTTTGAGTGAAGATATGGTTTGTCATAAGTGTGCTTGTTGGATAGACAACCCTCCAATGGCCATGCATGCAAGGACTCTTTTACCAAGCTTTTTCTCTAAGCTCTCCCTCTCATTTTGGTCTATAAATGTAACACAAGCTTCCCCAACTCCCCACTTAAAATTTTCTAGTGGAGCTAGAGAGTAGAGAGAGAGAGAGAGAAAGAAAAGAGAGAAATGAGAGAAAGAATGAGGAACGAAGGAGAAGAAAGACTCATCACTTGAAAGGACTTCAACGCTTCACTAAGGTAGGATACTTAGAAATACTCCATTTCTTTAAGTTTTGGAAAATGAATGCAAAATAATCTGATATGTCTTATAATATATGAAGGAAGCAAGAACAGAAACTGCACTGTGCAGAATCTGTTTTCATTTCAAAACTATGAAATAAATCACTTATTTACTCTCTTGAAAATTTGAAGCCACTGGAGTTGGTTTAACATGTTTTCATGGTGCTTGAATATCGGAAAAATTATTTGACAACATTTCGTGGCCAAAACACATTTTTTTAACTTCAAATTGGAAACGCTATGTTTTTAAGTTACCTTTCAAATGTCGCTGGTTTCATAATTTTTTTATTAAGCATTGAGAAAGATACGTCTGTTTTTAAAAAATGCAAAAAATCTAGAGCTACCTACTACTTTTAATTTATTTTGACATCTTCCAGTGGCTAAATGACTTCGAGCCCCACTTAAAAAATGTTCCCAACTTGATAATCTATAACTCCACCAAAAATCAAAATTTTTAAATATTATTTACTATCATTTCTATATTTTATTTGAGAGGACAACTTCCTGGAAATTGTTCAGCATCTGGAATCAAGTTAGTGAATCTGGAGCTACCTATTGTTTTTAATTTATTTGGACATATTCCAGTGGCCAAATGACTTTGAGCCCTTCTTCAAAAGTGTTCCCAACTTGATAATCTACAACTCCACCAAAAATCAAAATTTTTAAATATTAGTTACTATCATTTCTATATTTTTATTTGAGGGGACAGTTTGTTGGAAACTGTTCAGAATCTGGAATCAAATTAGTGATGGCTTAAAATCTTTTTGTATTGCCTCGTTTTTACATATTTTGTCTTGCATGCACTTAAAGATGCTTGATCAATTGGAATGAATCATGGCATGTGTATTTTCATCAAGAGCTGTTATAATCGTAATATAGGGGAAATGAAATGGGTGGTTTTGGACCATACGTACGCGGATGAATACATGGAAAAGGTATCCGATGTTTTGTTGGTATAGGTGCGCCCCGGTTCTAAGGAAATGTGATTATTTAGCTTACAAGACCTTGATATGACCCGGATCGTATTCTGACCTCACGGATTTGGTTTTGGGATAAGGGTGCCAGTAAGGGTCTCACATAGAGAGAGTACCTTTGGAAGGCCGGTTCTCTTGAGACGGACTACTGATGATACGCCTAGAGTATCTAACTCAGCACGTAACATCCTTAGGTCCAGTGCCTCGCGATCAAGAAGCGGTGCAAAATAGTCCTTGGCTAGGGTCAATGGTTGGGTAGTACGACACTCCATGGGGAGTCACCATAGGCTCACCAAATTTATAATTAATTGAAATTATGTTATGAACTCTATG